ATCATCTGCCAAGAGCTGGCCTGGAGTATGTGCCCACGGCAGATTTAGCCCTTGCTTAGAGCGTTCCAGTTCACATAACAGATCATTGATATATAATGCAAAGAGCCAATCAGATTTAACTCTGCCTTGACCAACTCCTTGGCGTACAGGAAACAAGTCTGATCAACACCTACCAATGTTATCCCACTCATGTATGCAATTGTTGTTACTGTTAATCCTCTACTGTTAATCCCCCACCTACTATATATATTCTGTACTATGTCCTCATTCAGTCTTACTTGACAACGGTATAACGAACTATACCGAAACGTCGCTTTTCACAGTATTAAAGAAGTTGTTATCCATAAAATTGTGTCTACCAAGTTCTAAACGACTCATTGTGTATTATTTACCGTTTAATGCTCAGGCACCATCCAGATATGTTTTGGATGTGCAATACGTCGTGGGCTCTTCCAGTTTGTGTGTTGGTTTAATATGCGAAACCAATATTTCTCTCCTATATTTCGACATCAACATGCCAGGTGCATATACAGTCTATAGTTTCGTGCAGTAGCGTATTTCTTAGGTTTTATCCTCATGAAGTAAGTATTTGAGAGTGAGTGGAGGATGTCTACTATCCTGTTATCGTTGTCCATTGAGGACTCCGTTCGCAACGGGTTTTATTTATTTGATTCATTCGGTTTTTCTAGAACACAAAGCCGGCTGCTGTACATGCTCTATTAAAATGTTACGATTACTCAATTTAGCTGTTACGAAATGTTATTTGGCATTACCGTTATTGCTATAGTAAATATTGCATATATTGTTGCCGTACATACTCCAATATAACATACATTGATTTTATTCTCAGATTTAGATTGAAACTGTTAGGACATTATTATCACTATTATCATTGTACGTCACTGTTATATATTAATTAATGTAACTTGAATGACATATTACACTTGCTTGAATAAATCCTAAGGACCTCTCAGCTCCCTTCCCTCGAGTTTCAAGGCTAGCTCCGAATAGCTAATTCCCAATATCAAGGCCTGGCAGTTATTTGACCCAAGCAAGGCTGTCTTAATACTAAGAAGACAAAGTTATCACCCGTGCTGCAATGGCTAGAGTGAGGAGATGATGTCAACTATCCTGTTATCATTGTCCTTTGAGGACTTCATTCGCAATGTTACACTTATTTGATTCATTCAGGTTTTCTAGTTCACAAAGCCGGCTGTGCGTAGCGCAGAATATTCACCTTTCTTCCATATTCAAGAAATTATCCACAGGCACTTCTGGACGTTGATTGTTCCCTCTCTACCTGTCTGGGTCTCCCTATATGGTTGTCATAATGAACATAGTTTTAAAGTATTTTTGTCACATGCAATAATACTATCTGGTATCATTGGTAATATTTTCAATATCAACCACATATTGTGAGAATCCATGACTGAAATGAGAAGGGACTGAGTGAAGCAGTGGTAAAATCTATCCATACATACAAAATTGTATGTTTTTGGATATACCATATAAAATAATATTAAACAAAAGTGTATGAAAATTCTGTATTTTTTATATAATGGAATTTCCCCTTGCGTTTTGTTATTAGACGGTGTGGAACTGGCTAGGATATTTTCTATACGAACTCTATGGTTCGACACTAAACGCAAGGAATCCGATGTTTGCATACAGATACCGTATTCATCCAACATCCAGTCATGGTCTCAGGTCAGACAATGCCACACTCGCGACCATTAACAGGGCCGTACTACATTGAACGAAACACTGTCAGAAATCCATGTAAGACTTGGTCCAAAGTGGAATGGTAAGCTGGTACATAAAAGCGAACACTTAAAAAGATTTAAAAAACGGATATCTCCGCCATGACCAGCCCGATGATAACACAATCTTAACGAGTGATGAAAGTGAGGAACCAGTATTACTGGAGGCAGATGAAGTTCAGGGCATACTGTACAGTGATAACACTATGTCAATCGATCAAATGGCAAAAGTGACAAATCTGACAATGCTCCAAACACTCAAGACTTCGAAGATTATCCCGGACGCGGAACAACATCCTCGTGTTGGCGAACTACTATTTTGTTATTGGTCGCTTCATAGATATTTGATTGTCGAGAAAGAACATACACTATTCAAAGAAGAGAATTTATGGATGTCAACTTCTTTATTACGAGGAAACAACGTTTTGGAGTACATGCTTACTCCTTCATTAGGTGAATGAATGCTATGAGGCAGTGAGCATATACATTCTTCACAAAAAGAAACGCACAAGTAGATTTATAGTAAATGTATTTATTTATTGGCATTATGAAGGAAGTCTACCGTGACACGAGCTGTGTGCGGTGGAGCGTTGTTCTGTTGAAACAGCTCCTTCTGTCGGTCAATGATTTGAAGAAGGTGAGGTTGAATAATTTGATTCATTAAGCGATTTGCTGTCAAATTTCCCTGAACTACAACCAAGTCAGATCTCCTGGTGTAGGATATGGCACACTACGACACTACCGCCACCCAATTTGTCGAATTCACGTGTAATGTGGGGCAAAACGCTCATTTCGACGACGATAAACACGTTGTCTTCCATCTCGCCGGTGAAGAAGAAATCATGATTCATCGCTAAACCACACTCGCCTCCAGTTTCTCAAATTCCAAGGCTGTAAGATGTGGCATCAACGCAAGCGTCGCTGTAGATGGATCTGTTGCAAAACAGGGACGATAACTGACCTTCAGCCTCGCGGAGGTGGTTCCTCGCAGTCTGGTCCGATATTCTCCTCAAACTAGGGATGCGTCCTGCATTCCCCGTAGCTGTGCCATTGCATGACGTAGGTGGGACAGTCGAATGTAGCGATCCGGTGCAGGGGTGGTGACTCTTGGTCGACCGAATCTCGGACGGTTTGCAGTGGTATTAAATGGTGGGTATCGGTCACAAAGGCGACACATGGTGCTGTGGTGGACGTTGAAGTGGCGTGCAAAAGAAGACTGCGATTCCCCTCTTTGGATACGTCCTATGGCGATGTTCCGATCCGCAGCGCTGAGTCTAGGCATTTTCGAACTTGACAAATGTTGACAATTGAATGGCAAATTATTGGCTTATGCTTGCCATTTTTATAGCCACTACCACGAAGCACGAATGCCATAACTTGCACGTGCATTTTGCTTTACTGTTTTCCTCCATGACATTTAAGACCTTGCAAATCGACAATGGCTGCGTTTTGAGGCACCGTTTGTCGAATATCAGGTCACCAACATAATCCAATAACATATATCCAATTTATACCTGATGTTTTGTGTAGTCAGGCTCAATGAACTACATAGTACCTGTGCGTTTCTTTTTTTTGAAGAGTGTATATGTACATGTAAGGACAACAAAAGTAATAAGATAACAATAGGTCGAAACTAACAGAGACCAATAGATAATTGCTGTTAACTGGTGATTAGCATGGGTGATCGGCCTCCCGTTTGCTCATTGTCCATTGCCAATTACCAATCAATGATAATTTAAGGGCTGGCTTCCAGTTGTCTATTACCATCAGAGCTAATTACTGTAAAGTGTTGGCTTCCACTGTCTTTTGCCATATTGTTATAACTACATCACAACGAATAGAGCGTACAATCATTCAGCATTACCTCCCTTGGTAATGCTCGTCTGTTACCCATTCGTCACCACTCGCCCCTTTCCGTAACCTGAAAGAAGACTCGTCTCCCTGTCGGTGAATGGTATGTGCGAAGATACGACAAACCAATCAGAATGCGCGCGTGACTTCAACTCCTTCGGTCAAAAAATCTCTCAGGAATATTTTTTGATTTTACACATGTCTTGCATATCTAAATATGCCCAACCATACTGTATAAGAACCATTGGTTTAAATAGTATCTGTAATATATATGACATGGAGGAAATATACGTGAATCATTACACAACGAGTTGACAATTCTTTAAACTATATCCGTTTGAGCTTAGACGGAACCCAGTTGCAAAAAGTCGCAAAAAGTCGCTATTCGGCTTGTCCCGGAATAACACGAGTTGGTCATGAATGTTTTGTTACCATGGAAACCATTTTCCAGGGAAGCACTTTGCTACTGCCATTGCACGTCACTATGCTTTTTCTGTTGTCTCCCTGTGCCACTATAGCCTGATATGTTGAATGTACATCTATATATATATTAAGACAAGCGTAGTGTCTTGTGTGAGTAAGTGGGTTGAATGGCGCTATGAGCAGTATTCCAGTTATTTCACGGCACGTCAATTTAATGTGGGAGGACAGCCCTACGTAATGTAGGTATGTTGCTGATAAACCTGAAAACATAACTGAGGCAAATCGGGATTCGAACCCAATGTGTGCACGAGTGATTGACTATTTTTATTTCACCACCAGCAATGTAGGCTGGAGACTCAGAAACCCGTTGTGCCAATGTACACAGATTAAGTAAATATGCGTTACAACGACTACACAATACAGCCTGCCTGTAATACATGAACATTGGCAATGCTGATTTCTAGAGCAAGACAGCCTACACTACAACATGTGGTGTACCCAACTCAAACAGTTTGACCTAGTTTGAAATCCCGTCTGAAGGGCCAACACCTCGGGACCGTTAAATATGCATATATGAAAGCAAGTCGTTCTTACGCACGCACACACACACACACACACACACACACACACACACACACACACACACACACACACACACACATGTATGTTTACATCGGTTGTACAGTTTGTACATCGGTTTTCGATTCATACAAAATGTGATTTGGTGATTTCTGCATGAATCGGAATTGATTTATGTGGAAAAAATGAGGTACTGCAAAAAACTGGGAAAAAGATGGAAAGATCGCAAACACATCAACATGACATGCACGTGCAGCATTGGGCTATACAAATTTGGGGTTTTCATTTGCATGCACAATCTTACAGCAAATGAACGGCGAAAACAGGAGAATGATTTTCAGCTGTTGCCAGGTTTATCCGCGCAGCACCGGTACCAGGCACCTTTGCACCAAGCACCAAGACTGTGTAACCGTTATCAGAATCACAGGACAGCACGTTACTTCCCATATCCTGTCGACCAAGTGCACTGCAAGAACACAGGACATATTCATACTGCTATTTCACTTGCGTGAAAGAACCACATGCAACTACGGAAATACCAGGATTGCGGAGGATATCAGGCCAGACAGTGAGGAACTATTTTTTCGTTGAAGGTATTCGGGCTAGACAACCTGTTCGTCGGCTGCAGCAGGTATGTTTTCGCTCGACAGGCAGCGTCTACACTCGGTGGATTGTAATGATATGTCGGCTCTGTTGTTCAACATATAAAGTTCGTTAGTTTTCTTGTTTTACGCCGCACTCAACAATTGTCCAAATCTGTCAGTGTCAAATCTGTAAAAACTGTGACCTATCTTATCAGACTGTAGGGCACGGCAACATGAAAATGTCACTGGGTCGTCCAAGTGGGTCCCGTTACATTGTTATTGTTATTTGCTAAACTGTACTAGAGATCTGTGCTACTGTATCATAGCAAGTATATTATTCAGTTCTTAATGTGGGACGTATGCGATGCAGTTAACGTTTTACGAATTCTCGAAGTTATGCCACCTGCTGGAGTAGGATCGAGTTTATCGTATCGCTTTGGACTCCAGACGTAAGGTTAACGTGTGTGGTTGTGTTTGTGTGTGGGGGCTTGTATTAGTTTGGTTTTATAGTGATACCCAACTGCCATCGGGTTTTTTCTCAATGTTTAGAGTTCAATTTTGTTCCATACAGGGGCTCAATTATTTTTCCAATAAATAACACAAACGAAACATTTAGACACTCATGTCTTGTTTCTCTATGAGTTCTCCCAACTAAAGGCAGACGCTCTGTCCACTACACCATGGACAAACGCATATGTGCAATGTGAGTAAATGCTGTATTACCTCACAGTCCCCAGCGTAACAGCTGTATCAGCTATTCTTTGTTCGTCATTTCGAAGTGATACTGGACATAATCGAAGAGAATTTATGGATGTCAACGTCTTAATTATGCGGAACACATTCCATACATAAATTCCCTTCCTTGTGTATCAGCAAGCCTTGATCAAGGCGACCGCCTCCGTGGTCTTGTGGTAGAGCGTCCGCCCGGAGAGCGGAAGGTCCGGGGTTCGATCCCGGGCCGCGTCATACGAAAAGACGTTAAAAGATTGTACTTGTTGTTACCCTGTCTGGCGCTCGGCATTAAGGGGCTAAAACAAGGACTGTTCGGCTCGGAGTCAGTATACTGTGTCTGAGTGGGGTATTCATGTTAAACTGCGGCATGGTATCTCAGTGAGCTAGCACTATAAATCGGCATCAGTCTGGACTGGTACAAGCAGCCACACACACATACACGTGCATGCACGTCGCTATATAAGTGCAATAATCTTGGACGCGACGTTAAACCCAATTTCACCTCACCTTGATCAAGGCAGTTCAGTCGGTGAAAGCACAAGCTCGGTCAGGAATGATCCAAGCTTTGTGGCGACGAAAAGGATCTGCTAGGGCAGACTTGCATAAAGCGATCTGTAAGTAGAATGTTAAAACAGTTTTAGTTTTAATTCATTCACTGTCTTTATCAAAATACAGTAGATCATTTGTTTAGAGTGTCAAACTTGTATCAATGTGGAAGGGGATTATGCTGACAAATTAATCATTCTAATGTCTTTCGATTAAGTATTTCCCTAGAACGGATCAATCACCAATCGTAAGATGCATTTACAATGTAAACATCGTCTATCTGAACGGAGCCGCGTATGTACTACACCAGCCAGGAAATTATGCTGGTCGTAAGACAGACAGACAGACAGACAGACAGATAGTTTATTTATGTCTCGCCTCAATTTACATATAAAATGCTATAAAAATAACATAAGATAAAATAAAATGAGCCACTCCTATTGGAGTTATGAGAGACAAACTACTAGAAGTAGTATAACCATAGTTTAAAAACAATATCGAAGATAAAATTCTGTACAACATATATGTAAATTAAAAAATATATTAGGCTTTATATAAAATATTACTACGCAGCTGTAAAATTGCCTTGCAGGTTTTGGCACCAAGCGTTACAACACTGGGACTGGCCAGGATAAAACAAACTTTCACAATATCACATTCATCTTTAAAACCACACCACAATACATTACATTTATCTAATAAAACCTGTCGAACGTCATTATAAGTTGGGCAGTGGTCGCTATAGGTCACTCTCAGTAACTGGGTTGATTGCCTGTTATTGCAGTCTGACGACGCGACACATTGTTCGTAGTATCAAGCACTGAATTGTCCAGACAGGACAAGGAGGTCATATTACCAACCGCCATGAGGATCAAGGACCTGATATGTTATCGTCCCCGAGAAGCATTGGTCGTTGTACATTATTTCTGTCATTGTTTTTCTTGGTCATGGCTCGATTATTTGCAGTGTGTCGTCATACAGCTGCAGTTGTGATCCCTGCTGCAAACTAAACCCTCCCAGGTGGCAGAGAACGAAGTATTCCAAAGCTTCTGATGTTTGGGTTGTTCTATCTTACATTTGTTACCAAAGCATTACTGACTGACGTATACACAAAACGATCAATACTGAGTGTGATAGTGTGGTTAAATGTCGCTTTTAGCATTATTCATACATATTATTCATATATGATGCCGGGATAGCTTATAAATGGACTTCACATCCGGAAGTGAGTGAGTAAGTGAATATGGTTTTACGCCTCTTGTAGCTATATTCCAACAATATCATGGCAGGGGACACCAGAAATGGGACTTACACATTGTACCCATGTGGGGGATGGAAACCGCGTCTTCGTCGTGACGAACGAACGCTTTAGTCATCAGGCTACCCCACGCCTCTACATTCGAAGTGACGTTGATATCACACTAACATAAAATTAAGTATTTATCTATCGTGAGGAAAATTATGAACGCTTTGAACTGGTTGCACGGTTTTAACCGGTCTTACTCCAGTAAACCAACACAATATGAAATTAGTTTTTTTAATTTCCAAATACATGGTTGAATGTCAAATTAACCATCTGTCATCATAACTACTCTTATACATCAAAAACACACAACGCGTCACTGGTCCATTTAAGGCCAAATACATAAATGTTTAATATGCTTTCATAGCAATAGGTTGTTTACACATTTGTCAATGTTCACTCATGAAACCTCAGTGATGTGTATTTATATATTGATGTGTTTTGGGTAATTTAATTCCAGGTGTTTGGGGTAATTTAATTCCAGGTGTTTGGGGTAATTTAATTCCAGGTGTTTAAGCATATATCGTAAGGCTCAACAGATGAGCAGGAGGTTTATTTCATATGTTTGGTTACTGTTTTCAGGACATAAATGCACATATACTGACACAGCAAGTAGGAAAGCGTCTTATTCTACCTAGGCAGCGACATTTTTATTTTCGAGTGGGCGTGGTTTGAGATCAGCGTTCTGTCTCTTAATGTTTAGAGCTCAATTATTTTTTCAATAAATAACAAAAAACGGAATGTATTCTTTAGACACTCATGTCTTTTTTCGGTGAGCTCCTCCCATCTCAACTTCCAGTGACGTCAAGTCGCGCTTGCAGACATATTTAAAGGTGCCCTGTAGCTGGGGGCGAGCTTGCCATTCAGGAGGTACTTCCATACAACGGACTTGGCCGAGCCAGTGAAATTGGTGCAGTTGGAGCAGGGAGGAGAGACTTATGATCATCGGTGTTTGTAACTCAGTCACTCCTGATGATTCCGGGATTGCGCATCAGACTGCGCATGTGGAAGTGGCTGATTTTCTACTCCTCTTTTTTCTAGAGGAGAAGGTCCAGGACTCGCGGCCGTACAGCAATTTGCTGAAGACGCATGCTCTGTAGACAGCAACGTTGGCGTGGCTGTCAGCTTGCTGTTCTCGGACCCTCTTTGTCAGTCTGGCGAGGGTGTTGGATGCTCTGGCAATCTGCGTGTTCATCCCAGCATCCAAGGACAGGTTGTCTGTGATGGTGGATTCGTGGTATTGAAACTGGTTCATACACTGCGAGGTATGTGTACTTTCTTACCAGTAAAACAAGGGCTTTACTTTTTTCAAGCCAGTGATATAACCTGTATATTATCTGCTGTATCAAATGTGAAGCAACATGATCAAGAATAGCAATTTAAACTGCTGCAACAGCCCAAATAAGGCTCTTGTCAACCACTAGTGTAAACTATTGTCCAATGACCATATCCAGAAAATAACGACGCTTTCGTATTTGCAGTGTGAAATGGAACAAGAAAATATGTACTCATGGGTGGTTCTATTTGCTTCCTTCACAACGCTTCTGTGTGGACCCACCATCGGCTTTGCAAGCGGAGTGATCCATGTTGCATTGTTGAATGAATTCAAGGAAGACGCGACACTGACAGCATGGGTGGGATCTCTCTTCTCATGCATGTTTGCTCTGACAGGTATGATATAGAATACAGCCAATTGCGATTGTACTTGTGCATTTGATAACCATGGCTTTTATTTGTATTATTTTGTGATATTATGTATTCCGGGTTTACGATAGGTCCCCGCAACCCATTCTGGTCACGAAAGGCGAACGAAAGTATTAGGTGGTTTTGTCGATAACGCAGCTTCGTGACGACATGGATCGTGTTCACAATACCAATCCCTTGATTGTCTAGTCCAGACTCGATGTATGTAAATGCCGCCGTTATATACATGTGAGTGAAATATTGCTGAGTGCGGCGTTAAACAACAAACACATAAAATACTGAGTCGGCGAGATTTCATTTGGATTTATTTGGAGGAGAATACAAAGTGTCCAGGGTTTTCGATCGAGTTATGTAGTTCGATAAGCGAAGTCTGATGGGACCTTGACATTAAGGATGTATCGACAGAACAACAAAATTATATGAGACGCCTCCTAATATATTATTTCATACACTTTCAGGTCCAATTGCCAGCTTGGTTATCAACGTGTTTGATTGTAGAACGTGTGTGGTGATGTCTGGACTCTTGATGATGACTGGGTTCGTGACCAGCTATCTGGTGACGGATATAAGACTTTTGTTCTTAACATTTGCCTTAATCACAGGTACGTGAGGGGCGGTCGGGTAGCCAAGTGGTTAAAGCGTTCGCTCGTCACGCCGAAGACCCGGGTTCGATGTGGTGGCCCAGTCGTCTAAGGCGCCGCGATTCGCTGTGTAGAGTTGCGTCCCTTGGGCACGCCAGAAACCTATGATTGTGGGTTCGAATCCCGGTTCGCCCCGATTATGTTTCTATGTTTGTCAGCACCATATCCGTGCTCGTGGGTTTCACCGAAGTGGTAAACGTTTGAGACCTGCAACACTTCGGGCTTTCCTCTCACATTAAGCTGACACGCCGTGATATAACCGGAATACTGTTAAAAGCGGCGTTAAACCCAACTCACTCAATCAAATACGAGGGTACCAGGTTTTCGCGAACAAGTAAGCATCATCATCTGTAATTGGCAAATTGACTTTTAACATACAGTTTAAGAGGTCCCCTGAGTGTTCTAGGCACCCAAAACCTCCCCAGTTCGACGCTTTGTGTGTGTGTGTATAATGACAACAATGCGTTTCATATCGCCACTCAACTTATGAACGGCGGACGGTGTTGCAAAATTACATTTACAACGTCATCTCAGGAACTGCTGTGAAGATGAAAATGAAAATGGGTCTCAGTCCGGCTGTGCAGAGTTTGATCTCTTAGCTAAGTCAGAATCCGCTGGTCGTGGATGACGTATATGACCTGCGTTCCTTTATGATTCACTGTCACATATATAAATCTGAATACGACTGAGAATCTGTTCAAACCAATACCCACTTACATAGTAAAACGTATAAGAGCAAAACCACGAATGTAGAACCCTTGACTGAATATAGCTGAGTTTCCTTCGAGATTTTCATTATTCTAGGGACCCGTGAAGATCCGGGGTAGAGTATGTCCTCAGCAACCCATGTTTGCCGTAAAAGGCGACTATGCTTGTCGTAAGAGGCGACTAACGGGATCGGGAGGTCAGGCTCGCTGACTTGGTTGATGCATGGATCCGAATGGCGTGGATCGATGCTCTTGATGTCAATCACTGAATTGTCTAGTCCAGACTCGATTTTTTACAGACCGCCGTTATATAGCTGGAATATTGCTAAGTGCGGCGTTAAGCAACAGACTCACTCACTTACTCATTCATTGTTCTAGGACACATGCATGCTGCGCTCATGCATGTGATCTATATTGTGTTGCGGGTCTTACAATTATCAGATCCAAGATATCGTGGTTACCTTTCACACTTCGTCTTTCAGGCTTGGGGACTGGTCTTGCAAACACCGGTTGTATTGTCGTTCTTCGATACTACTTCCCTAAGAATGCAGCCTTTGCAGCAACACTATACATCTCGGGAGGTGCACTCGGTATATTCATTCACCCTGCGCTCTTTCAATATCTGACCCAAGGATACGGATTTCACGGCGCATTTCTCATACTTGGAGGAATATCGTTGAACATATGTGTTTCTGGAATGTTAATGCGTCCATCCAAATATGAACAAGACAGACAAAGGCACGACTTTATTGGAAACTCTTTACGGCAAAAGGTTCTAACTATAATGTGTGGGGACTTTAGTCGTTTTTTTTCCATCATGAAAAAACTATCGTTTCTTTATTTTGTTATAAGTGTTCTGTGCTTTTCAATTGCTGCCGCGACGGAGTATATGTTTCTTCCAGAATACTTCATCAAACAGGGTTCAACATTCCAAGAAGGGTCCTTCGCAATAGCAGTGTCTGGCCTAGGTTGCATTGTCTCGCGTGTTCTCACGGGATTTGCCTCTACTGACAAGAGCATCGGAGGAGCTATTTTGTATTCCTCTCTAAATGGAATAATGGCGATTTTGACACTACTTCTGCCGATGTGCAGTACATCTTCTCACCTGAGAATACTATATGGCTTTTTGCTTGGACTATATACTGGAGGACAATGGGTTCTTGTAAATACTCTAACGCTGGAACTTCTAGATATACAAGACGTTGCTACAGGTGTTGGCGCTGTTATGTTTACCTGTGGAACTGGATACCTGATCGGACCTCCAATAGCAGGTACGTAATATGAAGCCAATCGGTATGCAATTAATATACACACTGAACTAAATGCATATCTTGAACATATTACTATTTAAGTCACATTTTCCTAGCAAATGTTCTGCAGTTGTATAAAGGGCACTTCAATGACACCCCATAGCCGGACCAGGACCAATTAAGTTTGAATTCCAGATTCCAGTTTCAGTGTGAATGGGTGAGTGAGTCAAACTTTAATGTCGCATCGGCAATGTTGTAGCCATATGGCGACAAGATCAATTTACGGATTCTCAAATACATAAAAGCGACAAAGCCACGTCCATAACTATAGTTACTTTCTGCTGAAAAGTGCGATCCGTCAATAGCATAAGGATGATTGTGTTTCTGAGTCATTACCAAATAGTGATGGTACCAGGTGTTCGCATCCTTCGAAATCAGTACTTTAATTTTTACAACCATTTTTCTTTGTCAAAATAAATGTAACCTTTTCATGTTCAGGCCATGAAAAAGGGCATGAATACCAAGTCATTGCATAATATGTATAATGTGTGAGCTGCTTGGGGCGTGTGGAAGCATTTATTTACAAATTTGTTTTCAAAAGCAATTTTTACTGTTGTCTTATTGGCATAAAATTCAAGCTTTAGTTGCAGTTGAGAGAGTGAAGTAAATTCGATGATGTTTCACCCTGCTGTCAGCAGTATTCCGACTGACAGCACGCACGCACGCACGCACGCAAGCAAGCACGCACGAATGCACGCACTACCTCATCCTCATTTTAGATGGCTAGCATTTGTTGGCTCACTACACCTCCTTGGCAGAAATTGTATGGACATTGCAACAATACATCACATCGTACCACAGAGAATCGTATAGCCGTTAAAGCACCATGTCATTTATGCACCCATGCCAAAATGTGCCAAAGCGAACTACATGTGTATCTTTTTCAGCGGCTATATCGGACGCCAGTGGATATTTCAACAGCATATTTCTGTTCGCTGGTATGTATCATATATTTGTCTTAGGTTAGTTGCATAAGAGGTGTACCACATAGTCGTAGGTTAGTTGTACAAGTGAGGTATTGCTTGATTTTAGGTTAGTTGTAAAAGAGTTAACGGTGTGACACATAGTCGTAGGTTAGTTGTATAAGTCCGGTGCAACTTAGCATTAGGTTAGTGGTACATGTCATAATTAGGTGAGAGGTGTATACATGAGGTATACGAGCGTAGCTTGGTATTTAGTTTGTGTAAGAAGTGTGCCACATAGTCTTAGGTCAGCTGTTTGATTGTGGTACAGCTTAGTCATATGTTGGTTGTATAAGTGAGGTACAGCTGTGTCTTATATTGGTTGTATAAGTGAGGTACAGCTGTGTCTTATGTTGGTTGTATAAGTGAGGTACAGCTGTGTCTTATGTTGGTTGTATAAGTGAGGTACAGCTGTGTCTTATGTTGGTTGTATAAGTGAGATACAGCTGTGCCATATGTTGGTTGTATGAGTGAGGTACAGCTGTGCCGTATGTTGGTTGTATAAGTGAGGTTCAGTCTAGATTTACGTTGGTTGTATAAGTGAGGTACAGCTGTGTCTTATGTTGGTTGTATAAGTGAGGTACAGCTGTGCCGTATGTTGGTTGTATAAGTGAGGTACAGCTGTGTCTTATGTTGGTTGTATAAGTGAGGTACAGCTGTGTCTTATGTTGGTTGTATAAGTGAGGTACAGCTGTGTCTTATGTTGGTTGTATAAGTGAGGTACAGCTGTGTCTTATGTTGGTTGTATGAGTGAGCCATAGCTGTGTCTTGTGTTGGTTTATGAGTGACCACCTAGTCTCAGAATATTTGTGTAAATCACCGATTCGCCCACTGATCGACAGATCGAATACATGTTGAGCCCTGATTGTGATCTGTTATTTTCTAAGCACATGCTATTAGTGTTCACCAAAGTGCTATATGTCTACGAACTGCAAAAATACAGTGAGTAAAGTTAATGCTGCCTCTATTTTAGACAATGTCATTTAACTAGTATGAGCGTCTGATGGTATCTCCAATGATAACATGTAGTCATTATGGAAATTGTTATGCCCAGAGTAATAATCAATTTAGATTCACTTATTGATTCACTGAGTTTTCTGCATGAACTAATAATAATGGAATCCATATGATAATTATATGGCATGTAAAGTGCACTTCACAATGGCAATTGGAATGCATGAAATCGTTGTTCTGGAAAATATAAAACGTCGACGCCAGAGAGCAACTAGTTTCAAATCCCCGACAAAATAGATTCCATTGGCGTCAGAGACAAATAGTGATGGCAATTATATACATGACGTATAGCGACGACACCAGGTGTTCGTACAAAGGGTAAGCAAGTCCTGCTCTACCGACAACACCCGCTGCTCACGCAAGTTACAGTGGTCTGTGAACAATCGAGCCCAGTGAGTGATTAGGTTCAATATATGTGACCCACCATGACATAAAGAACCTAACAGGTCACGTGACTTCTTATATTTTAAAAAACGTCAGTGTTTTAGGAACAATAAAAATACAACTCACAGACAACAATTCATACATGGCATCAAACATTTGACTATTTTTCTGCAAATGATATAATAACTGTTGTTACAATTTAGATATAGTGGCTGATTAATCGAAAGTAGACATGTATGCTGAAATGTTTTGAAATAATGTTTTTTTTACATTACGAACTAACGAGAAAAATAATATATTTTTGTACAGTCCACATACATGACGATTTGTACGTAAGCTGACGTCGAACGTCTCTCTTTATGACGTCAAAGCACAATTGTTTCAGAGCACCCATTTTGTTTGTTTGTTTGTTTAATGCCGCACTCGGCATTATTCCAGCTATATGACGGCATTCTGGATCAAACAATCAAGTGACTGACATCGTGCATATTGATCTACGCAATTGATTGACATGAAACAACAAGCCCGAGAACCTGACCACCGGATCCCGGTAGTCGCCTCTTACGACAAGCATGGGTTGCCGAAGAACAATTCTAACCCGGAAACTGCACGGGACCCAGCTGGAATGAGACCACAGAAGTTTTCATAGATCAAAACATGTATTATACATTTCTCATAGTGGTTAGTTAAAACGTGCGCTCGTCACTCAGTGTTCCATTTCCAGCAAGGGTACAATGTGCGATGCCCATTTCTGGTATTGATATCGTGATATTGCAGGAATATTTCCAAGGGCGGCATTCAAACACACTTACTCGTCTTCCATCGATACGACAAAACCTTTAATAATTTTAAAGTATATTTATGTTTTGGCTTTCAGTTGGAATGCTGTTATCGGCCTGTTTATTTGGTTTTTTATCAAATGTCACGAAACCGACATCATCAGCAACCAAGGACAGAGAACTGGCGATTGCAGCGTCTGCCGATGACTGTTGTATAGAGGAGTCGGTCCAAGGGGTGCTGATACTGCCAAACAATGTGCCGGAATAAGGACAGAGGCTCATGAATCAGGATACGGAATAAGACGTAAAAATGGCTTCAATCTGGAAGCACTGCTACTTTCCTTCGAAGACACCAGGACACTGTGGGAGATGATGTGAAATTGGGTTTAACGTCGCGTCCAATATTATTGCACTCAAAGAGCGACGTGCATGCACGTGTGTGTGGCTGCTTGTTCTAGTCAGGACTGATGCCGATTTATAGTGCTAACCCACTAAGATACCATGCCGCAGTTTAACATGAATACCCAACTCAGAAACAGTATACTGACTCCGTGCCGACATGTCCCTGTTTTAGATCCTTACTGCCGAGCGCCAAAGAGGGTAACAAGTACCATCTTTTAACGTCTTTTTGAATGACGCGACCGGGGATCGAACCCGGACTTTCGGCTCTCCGGGCGCACGCTCTACCACTAGACCACGGAGGCGGTCGGACACTGCAGGAGTGACATATGAAGACACCATAAGAATGATGACACTAACATGGGGATAGAACACTTCATTGTTACCTTAATAACTGGAGCGCAAGTGTTATCTATTGTGTTAGACCACCACGGGTATTCAGATCACGTGTTGTTACAGGTGATGTTATGTGTTGTTTCGAATTACTATGAGATATATTTTTAATTGTGCCAGTGTAGCATGTGATGAGGTTAGGTGAAAAGGGGTTTAACGTCGCGTTCAAGATTATTATAGCGACGTGCATGCACGTGTGTGTGTGTGTGTGTGCGTGCGTGCGTGCGTGTGTGTGTGTGTGTGTGCGTGTGTGTGTGCGTGCGTTTCTCTGCTTGTACTAGTCAGGACTGATGCCGAGTTTATAGTGAGATTCCACGCCGCAGTTTAACATGAATACCCCACACAGACACAGTATACTCATTCTGGGCCTACCAGTCCTTGTTCTAGTCCCTTAATGCCGAGCGCCCGCATGGTAACACTAAGTACCATCTCTTAACGTCTTTTGGTATGACGCGGCCGGGCATCGAACCCCGGGCTCTCCGGGCGGATGTCCTACCACTAGACCACGGAGGCGGTCCCGGGGCCGTGTTAAGGGGACAGTGTAGGTTTGCTGCTGCTCCGTAAACAAGGTCACTAACCTATCATGTGTGACCTCTTATATCCACGAGTGTCGTTATTAACCTAGACTACACGTACACGTAATCTTATACAATAATATTCTAAATATGTCGACAATCCGATCATTTCTATGCGTACACTGAACAATGTTACAGTTGGCTCTATTTTTCGTCAAATATACACGTGAAACTATACACCATTCAGTGATCATGATACCAACCATTCGCACTCGGATGCGGACACTTGATACAGTGAAATTACGTCCTGTCGCACTCGCTCACACAGGGTATCGGAGAAATAGGAGAAATAACACGGATCATCACAAAGCTCAAGGGGCGGTCGGGTAGCCTAGTGTTTAAAGCGTTCGCTCGTCGTGCTAAAAATCCGGGTTTGATTCCCGACATGGGTACAATGTGTGAAGCCCCATTTCTGGTGTCCCCCGCCGTGATATTGCTGGAATACTGCTAAAAGCGGCGTAAAACCACACTTACTCATTCACTCACTCATAAAGCTGAAATGTAGTCAGGGATACGTCTTCTTTGCTGTATATATATTTTAAACGCTATACTCACTCACCAGACCTAACTGTCATGAGACTTTTTAAGAGAGTTATACTTACAGATGTATCAGATGAGCATCTACCCTAATTAGAATGTGTGGCCTTAGAAGCGAAAAATCTAAAATAATTCCCAGAATTTCCAAATTAGAAAAGGCAGCAGTTGAGCACTTGCCTCACATGCCTGATTTGTATACAAGGTGTCGCAAAGAAATGTTGAGCGGTTTGTGAGCTTATTTCAGGAAACAAAAGTGAGTGAGTATGGTTTTACGCCGTTGTTAGCAATATTCCAGCAATATCACGTCGGGGGATACCAGAAATGGGCTTCACGCATTGTACCCATGTCGGGAATCGAACCCGGGTCTTCGGCGTGATAAGCGAACGCTTAAACCACAAGGCTACCCGACCGCCCCTCAGAAAAGCGGCGGAGGGGTACGTTTGCAATTGGATGGAAGATAGCAAACCACAAGATAATGGATATAAGACCGTGTCGGTAAACAACGTATTATTTTTTAGTTTCGTTTCAATAACTGATCTCACAAATATGGAACGTTTGCACGAAGCAAAAGTTTTGAAATAACGAATCCTATGGTGCAACATAATCATCGCCAAAGAGATAATTCATGAGTATTTGTAAAGTGATGAGACACATTCTGCAATGTAAATGAGTATTAAAATAAAATCGACAAAACCCTTTCCATACGAAATCTCTGACTTCATTGTCCAATTCCGACTTCATCGTGGACTTGGTGTTCGCGAAAAGGTGAGCGTATCCTGCCCCACCGGTGGCAAGCGTCCCGAACAAATATAAACGCAAATCAATTGTTCGGGATCATATATGGTTGGTTGGTTGGTTGTTTAACGCCGCACTCACCAACATTCCAGCTATATGACGGCGGTCTGTAAATAATCGAGTCTAGACCAGACAATCCAGTGACTTACATCACGAGCATCGATCCACACAATTGGGATCGATGACATGCATCAACCACCCGATCCCGTTAGTCGCCTTTTACGACAAGCATAGTTACCTTTTACGACAAGCATAGTTACCTTTTACGGCAAGCACGGGTTGCTTAAGACCTATTCTACCCCGGATCTTCCTGGGTCGACCATATATGGTACACGGAATTCAAAGCATGATTTCCTGCACTGCACACTGATCCAACATTAACCTCTCGTTTTTACGTTCAATAAAATCAGTAGATGAGCTATCTTTGACGGGATTGCTGGTCCAGGTGTCTGATTTATTCACATGCCGCCGTCGCATGGCCGCTTTGCTGTTCGGTGTCAAGCGTCGAACACATACTTGTTATGCAAATTGCATTGTCGACCGGTGCTACCGGAAGGACAGGACATGGTTCCTCTTTTCACCAACACCTGGTGTCATCACGGATTTTCAGTGATACATTCTTACATTTTCCACCGCTATTTTGCCTTTTACGACATTAATTTATTATGGGTTAAATACGGTAAGAGTTTGCCTGCCGCAGCCAGGTACATTGCACGTGAATGTGGTGTCACGAAGTCACGTGAGGAAGGCGACGTGTAGTGTCCACTGTGTTGAACCATTCGAGGTCTTCGCATTACACAGGCGAGAAGATTTTACATCTTGCTATCAACTGGAGTAACAGATAACTTCTCCGTCATCCCATCTCGAAGCTGCCGAGGAAATTCAGCCTGGCAGACCAAGGGATTCAGTTGAAGCTTATGAAACTTTTGTTCAAAGAATATATGGATTGCAAACTAAAAACATTCAAACGTGATATAATTAAAGAGTCGCTTACTACCTTAATAAGAGCTCGCAAAGATTCTGAAATACCATTCTTCAAATTTAAAGGAAATCAGTTGTAGTATAAATTCAATTGCAGTCTTTTGGAGAAAATAGATTCAGCTTTCAGATATATCAAACATAATAAGTATTCTGAATGTTCAAATTCCCTTGAAAGTCTTGCTACAGAGATCCACAAGCAAAACAAACGTGTTAGGTCAGCCGACAGATCCCTGTCCGGTTGGGCCGTAGTTGCGGAGTTGGAGGGAGACGACATTGCTTCTGGTTCAGACGAAGAACGTCGATACGAGAAGGCAGAGAGTAAAGCACTACGTAAGCGTCGAGCAACCCCTTGCAGGCCTCGAGACAAAGGTTTTCACAATGCTCCTTCTGCTACTTTCCCTCCCTAATAACGACATGCCTTCTCTGGTCCCTCCCTCCATGCAAACCCAGGCCTTCCCTCTCCAATTCAAACGTACTGTAAAACCAAACCAACAGTGTTTTTTTCTGTGGCGGATTTGAGCATTGGCGTGCCTCCTGTCCCCTCGCTGCTGCTGCACGGTCAGCCCAGACAACAGCCCACACACAAGGGGTGCAGACACCAGCAGATCCAAGTAAGAAGTAGTCAAGAAATAATTTCAGGTAACGAAACATTTGCATCTTTCGGGTTCCACTCATATTATGGGTGATTGTTGGAGATAAGTCAAAAATCGTGTTGAGAGTTTTCAATTTGGACCTTTTCCAGAGCTTGTGAACAAGCCCGCAGATCCGGACATGGTTCTATATGGCGAAAAGGTACCTTTTGCAAATTCTGGTCAGGACGCTTCTCTCAGGACAGATGCTGAATGTCCAATCAAGCACAGTTTGGGAAACTCGTGCACAGACACAAATCTCGGAGGTACAGATCAAGACTCTGAACGTTCAGACATATTTATGATTGATCAATTTGAAATCGAGTCAGGATCTTCTGCAATCGTAAAAGGCAGTTTAAGGAGGTGTATTACATTTTGGAAGAACATTGATGCACCAGAATATATTATCAAAACGATTCAGGAAGGTTACCTAATTCCTTTAGTTGACAGCCCACCCCATGAAGAAAGTAAACATTAGTTGTCTTTTTGTATCCTACATGTACCCCATGAAGAAAGTAACCATTTGTTGTCTTTTTGTATCCTACGTGTACCCCATAAAGAAAGTAAACATTAGTTGTCTTTTTGTATCCTACATGTATCCCAGGAGGAAAGTATACATTAGCTGTCTTTTTGTATCCTACATGTATCCCATGAAGAAAGTAAATGTACAAGGCATGTCAGGTGTCAAATAATTCCTGCTTTTATTCCATGAAGGAAGCGGAGCTCAAACTGTGCACGTAGAGACAGGGCATGTATGAGTAATTTCGGAATTTTGGACGAAATTTGACCAAAGGGAAATAAAAAACAGAGCATGTTCTGTTTATTGAGTACAAGTAATCAGTAGATACATGTATGTGGTTCTCGATTGAGAACACACACACACACACACACACACACACACACACACACACACACACACGATCCCCTGGCCGTGTCATACCAACAGGATTATTGCACTTTTATTGCGACGTGCGTACGTGCGTACGTGCGTGCGTGTGGGCTTGCACTAGTCCGGACTGATGCCGATTTATAGTGCTAGCTTCACATGAAGTGTAAACTGACTCCGAGCCGACCAGTCTTTGTTTTAGTCCCTCAAACAAGTACCATCTTTTAACGTCTTTTGGTATGACGCGGCCGGGCATCGAACCCCGGACCTTTCGCTCTCCGGGCGGACGCTCTACC